ATTTCTGCAACTACTCCAGGTTATGTACTCACTTACAGAGATTGGGAGCAAGGAGCTTCAGATGAACAAGAATATGTGACATTATTATTCTGGGTCTAAGTTACTTCATTCAAAACTAACTTTTTTAGTTCCATCCACATTTTATGATTTTATTTTTCTTTACAGTTGAATAATATTCCATAGTGTATAATGTACCACGTTTTTATTATCCATTCATCAGATGAAGAACATTTGCTAGTTTCCATTTCCTAACAATGATGACTATGGCAGCAAAAAATGTGGCTGAACAAGTATCTGTGAAGTAGGAGACTGAGTCTGGGGACAGATGTCAAAGAGTGGTGTAGCTGAGCGACATGGTAGATTTATTTTTAGTTTTTGAGAATTCACACTCTTTTCCATGGTAGCTTTTCCAGTTTGCGATTCCACTAATGGTGCATGAGGGTTTCCCCCATGTCTCCTTCAGCATTTGTTGTCAGTTTTTTTGTTTGAATTTGCAATTCTGACTGGGATAAGTTGGCTTATTGTTTTGATTTGTATTTCACTAGTTGATAGGAGCAATGAACAGTTTTAAAGGTATTTTTAGCCATTTTCATTTTCTTTTTTTGAGAACTATTTAGGTCTCAGACCTATTATTTGAATGGGTGTTGTTTGTTTTAATCCTGACTGTTTTTCGAGTTCTTTATATATTCTGGATATGTATCCTCTGTCCGCTGTATAGCTGTGAATGATTCTTTGCCATTCTATGGGCTTCCTCTTCACACAGTTGATTGTTTCTTTAGCTGTGCAGAAACTTTTTAGTTTTATGAGGTTCCACTTGCCAATTGTTGGTCTTAATTCTTTGGCAAATGGGGCCTCATTCCTACACCTACATATTGTAGTATATTAGCTATGTTTTCTTCTAGCAATTTTCAGATTTTACATTGAGGTCTTTGATCCATTTGGAGTTAGCTTTTATGGAAGGAAATAAGATCTATTATTTCATTCTTCTGTATGTGGACATTCTTGTCTCTCCTGACTTTGGTGAGATTGCTTCAAGCTTTTCTCTATTTAGGATGATGTTGACTGTAGGTTTTTCATATCCAGCTTTTAGTACATTGAGGTATGTTCCTCTAATTCAGTGGTTCTCAACCTCTCTAATGCTATAACCCTTTAATACAATTCCTTACTTTGTGGTGAATCCCAACTCTAAAATTATGTTGTTGCTACTTCGTAACTATAATTTTGTTACTTTTATGAATCTTAATGTAAATATCTGATATGCAGGATATATGATATGTGACCCCACTGGAGGTCACAACCCATAGGTTGAGGACCACTATTCTAATTCTATATTCTTTTTTTCTTTTCTTTTATCACAGAAAATAGTTTATTCAAATTCCCAAAACAAATGAATTATTCTGGTTTTGAATTACAGGTGTAAGATGAAACTAAAGTATGAAAACAAAGAGCTTCCATTCAGAGAGAGCTGAAACCAGTGAAGAGAATCCTAACAACTCATCTTCTGTCTCATGAATACTTCCCAGTTTGTTTTTTTGTGGTTTTTCGAGACAGGGTTTCTCGAAAAGAATTGATTACAACTCTTTTCATATCTGTGCATCCATCTGGCAAGGACATATTTTTGTAAGGCTATTGCTGTTTCAATTTTTTCATTTGCTATGTGTCTGTTTAGGTTATTGACTTCTTGGTTTATGTTTGGCATTTTGATTGAATCTAAAATCTAAAAATTCATCTATTTCTTTTAGGGATAGGTTTTTAAAATTGTAGCCTTCCCTGCTCATTCCTGATTCTTAGTTTGGGTCCTTTCTCTCTTTTTCTTTCTTTCTTTCTTTCTTTCTTTCTTTCTTTCTTTCTTTCTTTCTTTCCTTCCTTCCTTCCTTCCTTCCTTCCTTCCTTCCTTCCTTCCACCCTTCCTTTCTGTTACTTGTAACAAGAGACTGTCAATCTAACTTTTTCAAAAAACCAGTTCTTAGATTCGTTGATTCTTTGTGGGTTTTTTTTGTTTCTATCTCATTAATTTCTACTCTGATTTTTATTATTTCTTACCATCAATTACTTTTGGATTTGGTTTGTTATTTTTCCACATTTTTTATTTGTATTGTTAAGTCGTCTATTCATGCTCTTTCTGTTTTTGTTGTTAATGTAGGCTCTCAGAGAGAGAAATTTTCTTCATACGTATGTTTTCAATGTGTCCCAGAGGTTTTGTTGTATTGTGTTTCATTTCCGTTCAGTTCCAGGAATAGTTTTTATTTCATTCTTTATTTCTTCTGTGACCCATTCTTCAACTGGTAATGAGTTTTTTTTAATCTACATGATTTACCAGAGATTTGTTTTCTTTCCATTTTAATTGTTATTGCATTGTAGCCAGATAGGATACACAGAGTTACTTCAGTCTTTTTGAATTTGTAAAGATTTCAAATGTGGTCCCAGAATGTGGTCTGTTTTACAGAAGCTTTTGTGTGCTGCTGAGTAGAATGAATATTGTTTGGTGCTTGGATGGAATATTCTACAGATATCTGCTAAGTCCATTTGATGTATGATGTTAGTTTATTTTGTTGTTTCTCTGCTTACATTTTGTTCAGATGACCTGCCAATTAGAAAAAGTGTATTGAAACCCCCTACTCTTACTATCTTGGTCTCAACCTGTGTCTTTAAATCCACTAGTACACTTTCTTTTTATGAAATAGGGTACACCAGGGTTTGGTTCATATATGTTTAGTGTAGTAATGTCTTCTTAGTTAACTTTTTCATTGATTAGAATGAAGTGTCCCCATTTATCTCTTCTGTTAGGTTTTAATTTGAACTCTTTCTGTCAGACATTAGAACTGTGATGTGTGACCTGCTGTTTCCTTGTCCCATTTGATTTTTTTTGTCCATCTTTTTACTGTATGGCTGTACCTATCATTAAACCTGCTTTTTTTTTTTAGGCAGCAGATATATTTTGTTTCTTGATCCATCTAGCCTTCCTGTTTCTTTGAGTGAATAATTGAGGCCATTAATATCTGAAGTTATTATTAGCATTTGTGTATCACCTGTGGTCATTATGTTGTCTGTTTTTTGTGTGTGAGAGACCACAACAGTGTGTGGTCTCATTGCTACACTGGATTTTAGTAATTATAGCTTTACATTTCTTTTCACAGGCATATAAACTACTTAATATAGGATAAACCTTCCTATTTAAAGACAGTTTTAGCTTATTGTATAAGATATGATGAACAATAACTTAATCTTAACTTATTCACTAGCTAAAGTTGTGCACAGACCTCATTTACAACAACTAATATATGTATGGAATAGTATAGTGATTAAACAATTTAGAGCTTGTTTAATAACTTGAATGTTTACTACTTTTTCAATCTTGTATGTTACTTGGCCTCTTTGTTTAACTTTTATCCCCCTTAAAACAGTGACAATCAGTGACAATAATACCTTGAGTTATTTTGAAAGTTCAAATAATAATTATCAAGTTAATGAATATAAAATTCTTTAAACACTAGTCAACACAATTATGTAAGTATGAAATAAATTGAATTCACATAGGAAAGAAATATCTTAGTACTTCTTTTCTTTGGCTATATTGTTCTTTCTTGGCTATGATGATAAACATTCTAAGAAAGGATTCTGGAAAGCTGCTTCTAACTAATTCTGATGCTACTTGGCTATGTGACCTTGTGCAAACGATCCTGCCCTCTGAGCTTGTTTCCGCATCTGTAAAATGCTGTGATTGGGTAATACAATTAGCAAGTGCTCTTCCACCACTAGCAGTTTAGAAACTAATTCTTTAGTACTGTGCTATGAACCTACTCCTATATACCTTCATGTATAGACTGTTTACATGTCCCTGAGATTTGTTACTGCCAGGCATTATTTCAAATCCTGGTTGCAGATTCTGGGAGAAAGAACTAGACATATATTTTGGTATGCTAAAGGAAACATATTCGCCTAATTCATAATATTGATGAAGTTCTTCCTTTCCTTCTTCCCTCTCTTCTAAGTCTCTTCCAAGTTTGTCACAGTTGTTTGCTTGGCTTTTGATCTCGATGATGGAGGTTTCCTGCCCATAGTTGTCTTGCTCATGTTGGCTGATAGAGTTTTGGTTTTCTTGATGCTTGATATATTGATTCTTATATTATCAAGAGGTTTTAAGTTTCTTTCTTTGAAAACTGTGTGCATGCATGTCTGTGTGTGATTACTCTATCCTCTCATCCTCTCTCTTCTCTTCCTGTCAGAATCTTCTGCTTATTATCTTTACCAGCCCCTTTCCCAGATTTATAAGTTTTTGTTTTATTTTATGATCCATTTAGTTTAATCAGGCCATCTATCGGACCATTGCATTGATACTGCCTATTGGAATCTATTAGGATAAATAATAGGTGGTACACAGTTAAGGCTCTGGCTCACCCTCTCGATGGATAATGTATAAGTAGTAAATTGTTCAGCAGGGAAAGGTAGAACCCACCTGTGATTTTCATTTGTTTGCTTTGCCTTGCCAAAACCTCTTAGGGAAGACATTTCAGTTTTACAAAATACTTAATCTAGAAAACTCCTTTCCATGGCCACCAAGATGGACAGTAGGTAAAGGTACTTACCGGTAAGCCTGATTATCTGAGTTTCATCCTTGAGACTCACATGGTCTAAGCAGAGAATGAACTCTGTTATTGTCCTCTGATCTCTACACAAGTGCTATGGCTGATAGATTCAGGAGGGTAAAGGGACTGGTAAGGAGGACTGGGGGATGATATGGATGAGAGGGAGATCAAAAATGGTGAGAGAAGAGAGTAATCATGTGTACATGTGAACACACATGTAATAAAAGGAATATCTTTCTTAGCATTGGGTGTTATAGTACACATGTACTATCTTACCACTTGAGAGGTTGTGAGAGGAGGCTTGTGATTTCCAGGACAGGCTGGATTACATAAAGGACCTTGCCCCAAAAAAGAAAAGAAAATTATTCACTCTTGGAACATGTGTGTGATACCCACATCTGCCTGACTTTTGTAGATATAGTTGAAATCTTCATAGAAGACAATTCGAAATAAATGGAGAACTTAAATGTCACGAACAGCGAGAAGAATTGACTGTTGAGACCATTCCAGGCACAAAGCAGTAAGTCCAGACCGTCGAAAGAACACATTCAGGCTCCATGGTTACAAGAAGCATCAGCAAAATGGATAAGAGGATAATTTCAAAGTCTACCCCCCCCCCCACACACAATTCTAGACACATTATCTTTTACTAGTTCTGTTTCTGTGCCGATCCCTTTCCCTCTCACTCTGGCTCAAGCTCTCACTCACCTTGAACTTTTCTCAGCTTTGAGACAGAGAGTGATCGTCCTACATTCTTTGCTTTGTTGTATCACCAGCGGGCATGTTTTTTTTTTTTTTCATTTCTTTTTTACATCCTAAGTCCACATTTAGAGTTGTTAGAATTTCAAGAGAAAGAACCACGGACTTAGAATTGTCATTTGTGGTCCAAATGTAACCTCAGATGATTCACCTCTCAGAATTTGGATTTCTTCATTCTCAGGCTTGAATGATGATGCCTTCAAATGTCTTTTATAGGGATTAAATAGCTAATAGTTATTAACCACATCATGGTTAATAGGCATAATATTAATCGCTAATCATTTAGATAAGTAATTTGCTAGAAAAGGAAGTTTTGTTTTCCCCTGAAAATTCTGGGAGTTTTAAACTCCATCACAGTATGTTTGTAGTCATTCACTCGGATCTGATCTACTAAAGCTATTGCTCTTGTACGTCAAAAGAGAAAGAAGGGCTGGAGCGATGGCTCACCTGTTAAGAGCACCTGCTGCTCCCACAGAGGACCCAAGTTCACTTCCCAGCACTCACATTGCTTTTTATAGCTTCTCTGTAATTCCAGTTCTAGGGAATAAAATGCCTGCTTCTTGTCACTGAGAGCACCACGCATGCATACATGCAAGCAAAACACCCACATACATAAAATCAAAATGAATTCATCAAGAGAGGGAAACAGACAAGGCATACAGACAGAAACACTTCCTAACACTGAGTTGCCTACCATTGCTTCACCATTATTTTTCTTTAAGTTTGGGAGAAACCCCCATTGTCTCATCAAAGGATGGTTGTTGACTACAGATGTGATTATGTTTCTGGTGATAACTGTGGTCATCGCTGAGAGTCAGGGACACTGATAGTGGTAGAACTGTGCCATTATTGTGCTTCTTTTCTGTTTTGCAGATGGCATTCCATCACATTCCTACTGGGGAGAAGTTGCCCATCTCTAATAGGGGCTGTCCTCAGGTTCTCCACTGTAAGAACATTCAGGCAGCATACTTTGTTTTAGACTTGTGTTTTAAAGGTTTACTTCACTGTTAAAAATCTAAATCCATTTGTTTCTCAGAAAGGCATACTGGACTGATCATAGATTGTAAAATGAGAAAATTTGCATTCAGATTCTTTCACTTACCAGTTGATTTGTGACAAGTTATATAATATCTGGACTCAGTTTATTCATTTGTAAAAGTGGGTAAATGTATTTTCTTCAAAGAAGATTTTTTGAGGCTTAAATACATCAATACATTTTACTGTGTGCTTAGCAAACAGCTAATAGATATTTCCTTCTCATGTCTACTGTTATCTGTAACTTTTATGTTTTGCGCAGTTACTACTTCTACTATCAGTTCCTCTCGAGAAGATTAAGGGAATGTATCTGAACATTTTATAATAGTGATATTTCTACTTTTTTTTTCCAGTCTTATCTCTAAGCCATCACTCCTGGGCAGTAACCTACTGTGACTCAGTCTTTGTGCCTTCTATAATCTTAAGTTTCTCATCCATTTTATTATCTTCTCATTTCTCATAATAATTGCTCACTGTTTACTGATATTTTATTGACAGAGCTACTTGCCATTCACCTATCACTTTACAAGGTTTTGATAGGGTTCATCTTTGGAACAGTCATCGCTCCATAAAGGGTGAAGGGTCAAACAGTACAGATTGCATGTTGCTTCTTGTGAAGGGAAGAAGCAGAATTGATAAGAGGAAAAAAAAGTCTGTTAATGTTTTCCCATATCATCAGCTATAATCTAGATTGGCCTGGCAAGAACAATATAAAAACAGTATTAATGTGCAACATGTTCCAACAAGCAGCACAATTAGGACATATGCAAGCTCATTTAAAAAAAAAAAAAACTTTTCTTAAGCCATGATATCCTAGCATGTGAAACCTGAAACCGCTGTTCAGTCTTTCATTCAACACTGTTGAATGGAGCTACAGGCTGCGTCCCTGCCGCCCAGCTCCTGGCCACTCTGTTGTAAGGAGCTGTGGGCTGCGTTCCTGCCCAGCTCCCACACGGCTAGCTTATGCCCCGAAATAATTACATGGAAACTGTATTCTTTTAAGCACTGCTTGGCCCATTATTTCCAGACTCTTATTGGCTAGCTCTTACATATTGATCTAACCCATTTCTAATAATCTGTCTAGCCCACGAGGTGGCTTACCAGGGAAGATCTTAACCTGCGGCTGTGTCGGGTGGGAGAATCATGGCGACTGACTGACTCAGCTTCTTTCTCCCAGCACTCTGTTCTGTCTACTCCGCCTACCTAAGGGCTGGCCTATCAAATGGGCCAAGGCAGTTTCTTTATTAATTAACCAATGAAAGCAACAGATTAGAAAGAAGTCACTCCCACATCACAACACCATCATTACAGCATGCTAGACAGGATGTTCTCAGTTGATGTTGGTGTCACAAAGATAAGAATATTAATAAAAAAGAACTTAAAGATATAAGCATTTTCTTATTCCTCCTGAAAATCTAAAACTGTAGCTAGGTTACTGTCTTTTCATGGATTTGTCTGGCAAGTATTCATTTTGAGAGAGAGTGATCTTTGTTTCCACTATTTGCTGGAACTATCTCTTGTAGACCAGACTGACCTCGAACTCATAGAGATCCACCTGCCTCTGCCTCCAGAGTGCTGGGATTAAAGGTGTGCGCCACCACCTCCTGGCTAAGAGTAGAATTTTATTGAAGAAACATTCAAGATGCAATATGTGGAACTAATATCAATGATGAGCTTCTGCCAGACAAACTTTGGTAGACAATTTTTGTATGCTATAAGTACTAGACCAATGAGAATTAATCTTCTTCAGAAATAAGCCCCTGACAGGTTATCCAATCCCAAATGGTCATTCTTTTTTTTTAAATATTTATTTATTTATTATGTATACAATATTTTGTCTGTGTATATGCCTGCAGGCCAGAAGAGGGCACCAGACCTCATTACAGATGGCTGTGAGCCACCATGTGGTTGCTGGGAATTGAACTCAGGACCTTTGGAAGAGCAGGCAATGCTCTTAACCACTGAGCCATCTCTCCAGCCCTCAAATGGTCATTCTTAAACATATATACATATAAGCAACACTAAATGGGCTCAGCAGATTGTATTTATAAGCACATATGTATAAATGGATATATAATGCATGTATTTATTTATTTTCTATTTTACTTTTTATTTATTTATTTTTATTTATTTATTAAAGATTTCTGCCTCCTCCCCGCCACCGCCTCCCATTTCCCTCCCCCTCCCCCATCAAGTCCCCCTCCCTTGTCAGCCCAAAGAGCAATCAGGGTTCCCTGACCTGTGGGAAGTCCAAGGACCACCCACCTCCATCCAGGTCTAGTAAGGTGAGCATCCAAACTGCCTAGGCTCCCACAAAACCAATAGGTGCAGTAGGATCAAAAACCCATTGCCATTGTTCTTGAGTTCTCAGCAGTCCTCAATGTCCGCTATGTTCAGCGAGTCCGGTTTTATCCCAGGCTTTTTCAGACCCAGGCCAGCTGGCCTTGGTGAGTTCCCGATAGAACATCCCCATTGTCTCAGTGTGTGTGTGCACCCCTCGCGGTCCTGAGTTCCTTGCTCGTGCTTTCTCTCCTTCTGCTCCTGATTTGGACCTTGAGATTTCAGTCTTATTTGGTTTCTAGCCATAAATAAAGGACATTGAGCCTATAATTCGTGATCCTAGAGAAGCTAAATAAGAATGTGAACCCAAAGAAAAACATATTGGCATCCTCCTGAATGTTAACCTTTATCAGGCGATGAAAGGAGATAATGCATGTATTTATAATTACATATGTAAAATGTATGTGCATATATATGTATGTGTATATAAATATGCTTTTGTTTTCATATACTATAAGCTTCATTTTTAAAAATTTATTTATTTTATGTATATGAGTGCTCTATCTGCATGTACACCTTTTTTTCAGAGGAGAGCACAAGATCCCATTATAGATGGCTGTATGCTGCTGTGTGGTTCCTAAGAATTGAATTCACAAACTTTGGGAGAGCCACTGGTGCTTTTAACCACTGAGCAATCCCTCCAACCCTCCAAACTTTATTTTTAAAACATGAAAATTAAAAAAATAACAGAGAAATTAACCAGACCTGAAGTCTATACATCATAGTGAAGTTCTGTACAGTTAGAATAGCCATTCTGAAGCTGTGGAACTTCACACTGAATCTTACACTGTCACTACTGAACACATTTTTACATGTTTTTCCCCCAACAAAATTGAAAAATCTATAACATAACTAGAAGTAGAAAAGTAATTAGCTTTATATCCTCTTTCACAGCTTTTATCCATTATCTGCATTTAGTCCTCCCTCATCCCCTAACATTTACACTCTCTTATTCTCTTCTATTCATGCTTACAATATATTTATATGTGATGTAGATACATCAAAGAGTTCCAAAATAGCCCAGAATGGAGTATAACAAAGGTTTATTATTTGGGGATAAGCTCACAGTAAGAGTAGCAATTCAGTCTTCTCTGTGCACTGGGAACTAGGAACCCAATCCAGCAGAAAAAAAAAGGGACCCTGCACACTTTTCACCTACATGTATATTACCCGAGACCATGCCCAAAGTGGACAAGTATTTAAAAGGCTATTGGCTGAAAAAGTTCCTACAACACCATGATAACAATAATTAAAGAACATGAAGTCATGAACTAAAGAGGAAGTGGGAGATACACAGGAGGAGTTTGAAGGGGAGAGTATGTAGAGGAAATGATGTAAATATAGTATTCATGTATAAAATTATCAAAAGTAATAATAAAAATAAAA